GAGAGAGAGAGAGAGAGAGGCAGCATTTAGGACTCGACTGTTTCCTCGCTTATCAAGGGTACCGAGAACCTATCGTGATCCCGTCCGTTTGCACATGATGTACAAGCGTCATCCAGTGGTTCAGAATGTGCAAGTACCTCGAAGTGTGCGGGTAAGCAATRCTTTCAATGCGCCCCTGATCTCTCTCTCGCCTTCTCGGCCAGCACATCGAGGCTATCGTCCCCAACTGAGCGAAGAATTTAGTTCCTTTCTCATCRCACTGCTCGTAGAATATTTATGTATTCCAGCGGCCTAGCTCAGTTGGTAAGGCCCGCAACTGGCATTCAGGAGGTCTTGGGTTCAATCCCYAATCGCCTCATGTACCCTCCMGGGCAAGCTTGGCGCCCACCGCCTAGAGATATGTCGTTGGTCCCCCCGAGTGGTATTGAGCAGAGACTGGTGATGTTCACGAGGGGAGGGGACCGGAGAGGAGKCAGGCGCATCGAAGAAGCTCGCTCCTGATGCTACMKGCAGGCCCTGGCAGGTATCGCCCACCTGYTGTATAGCTCCCTCATGTTCCCTCGTTGGAGGCTTGAGCACGGATAGCACCTGCTGGTGGGTGCGGCTCCCGCATGTTCCCCTTGAGCCACGGATGTGGCTGCTACGGGGCTGCCCATAATACTATAATGACAATAAAAACGGCCTGAAAGGCCGTCCGGTCCAGATTCTACAGGTCATTCAATCTTTTTTTTTTTTTTTTTTGAATTTATAAAAACACTTCATTATATCCAGGTAAAGGGAGGCCGGGGACCGCACAATTTCACCCGGAGTTATCCTGACAGCATCGTTAGCTTACGAGCATTGCTCGAGAAAACCAGGCCCGGTAATATCTAGGAACAGAAAATGCCTTACACAGGCAGTTGTCCTGAAAACCTGGCCTTACCACAACAATCGTCACAGACCAACAAAGCCACATAAGCCAAAAACAAAAAAAACACATGCCCAAACCCACAAACAAAGTCAAGAATCAACTGTACCACCAAACTGCCTAATTCAACAGAGAAAGATAACTCAAAACAATCTGCACATTCTACCTTACCTAACCTACCACCTATTCTGCACCCCCAGGCTGCCTAAACCGGCAGTACGGTCCACAGGACCGAAGGAACCCGATTGTCGCTCCCACCACCCCATAACATCTGCCCACCTTCCTGTGAAAAATGGAACCGAGCAAACCAGGTTCATCACCAAGCCCCTACTTAAAAAAAACATGATACAGCAGCCCCTTAATACGTCTGGAACCAGTCAGTAATTATTATCTTCCCACCTTCTAACTTGACCAGTTTACATCCCAACCCCCAGGTTTCTCCAAACCAACTAGAAAGACCCTAACTCCCTTTCCTTTTCCAATCCGCCAGAATCAGGCGTCGTAGCAGAGATTTGAATAATGTACGTATCTCCTTGTTTGTCATTTCCTTATCCTCGAAGATACGTAGGTTCCTTTCTTTCCAAATCACCTCGCAACCCACCGCTCTTACCGTCTGGGCTATGTAGCCCCATCCACTGTGTAGTTCCAAACCATCTGGAATTCCTCCCAGCAGGACCCAATCCCGGTCCCAAACCAAAACATTTCCAGCCACCCCAACCCAAAAGGAGTCCCACCATTTCCAAATTCGATACGACACGGGGCAATCGAACCAGAGGTGAGGGGTGGATTCAAAGGCCCAGCTACACCTCTTACAAGTAAGATCAATCATTAGCCCTCGTTGTGTTAAGTTGACCGCTGACGGGGTAGCCAACAAGGACAGCAGTCAGAGATTGACTGCAAGCCTAGGGCTAGGAGCATGTGCTAGCTGTTTCCAGCATTTCAGAATGACCTTCATAATACTTTCCTTCTCGCAATCCATTACCTGGCTCCATCTGGAAACTGCAGTCTGAATAGGAGACCAGGTGGAATTATTGGCTAAGAGTTCCTGCCCGAAATGGACGGTGTAATCAATAAGTGGCAGGTCTGCGCCTTCCTTGCCCTCACCTTTCCAACCACAGATACGGGGGTCTAGCTTGATCCGGGAAAGTGACTTGCCATTGGCGAATAGTAAGCCGAATACCTTACAGGCCCAATTCCCATCCTCATCACAAGCTTCCCACATTCTTACTTGATATAGCCCAGTCCCCAACGGAAGGTGGGCGTGCTCTTCTAATTGAATTGAGACACTCGGTGTCTCAGGAGAACAACCTTCCCAACATTCAAACTCTCTTTTTCCTACCGGATCATAACCGCCTGTTTCCAGAAGAGAGGGGCAGACGAAACTTCCGAGGAGACATACCAAGTCCCTGGGGGATCCACCCCTTCCGGTCTCAGCAAATCTTTCCATTGAGAAGGAATAACATTAACTATCGTAACCAGCCGTTCTTCCACAAACCAAAGAACGCCTAATAAATCCCTCAGTGCTCCCGGAGAGATCCACTGACCTTCCAGTACCAACCAAATGTCCCCAATCCTCAACACTCCTCTCTCGATCCAACTTTTCCCAAAGCTGTTCCGAGAGGAACCTGCAGAAAAACACGAGCCATCCTCCTGCCTGATCGCAGGACTATCAAATAGCGGTTGTAGCAAGACTTCAGATTTCGTGGTAGGGTTTAACCAAGCATTCGGCCTTAGTTGTTTCCATGCATACAGGACAGCATTCCAAAAGTCGGATTTCATACGTCTGTTCTGATAAGAGCTCAGTAGCAGATAGGTCCATACATCCGAGGGGCGTTTGAGAGCCCATTCGGCTGCTAGGATTTCCTCAGCAAGTGCGATCCAATGGGTGGCTTCAGCCGAATTTATGGATTTAATAATCTATCTAACCAGCATAGCAATGTTTTTTCTCTGAGGATCGACTAGCCCTAGACCACCCTCCTCCTTAGGAAAACAGAGCAAATCCCAGGCCACTTCCGACATAAAACCTTCATCATCCGATGCAAATGGCTTCCAGATGAAGCGGTCAGCCCTTCTTTTGATTAAAGAGCAAAGTTGCTTACTAATCGGTCTGACGACAGCAACAAACCACAGTAACGACAATAAAGCACAGTTGATGACCAAAACCCTCCCAAACAGGGATAAGTGGATCGCGTTTCCCCAAGTAGCTATTCGCTGTAAGGACTGTTGCAGGAGAATGCCCTCCTGGTCTACACTACAGGAGAGCAAGGAAACAGTATACCCAAAAAGCGCTCAGACTCTTCCGCAACGATATGCTTCATGCCCCAATTCACAGCAGGGGAATACCTGGAGGGAAGAAAAAATACCGACTTTGCCCAGTTTACCGAAGCTTTGGAGAGCTCCGAGTATTCATCCAAGCATAACTTAAGTGCGTTCATTGATTGTACGAAGTTCTCTGAGATAGCAAAAAGATCATCTGCGAGGGCTTTTATTTTGCATTGGGAGTTGCCTGCCCTCAATCCGATTATCTGCAAATTAGACCGAATGTTGCAGAGCAAAATTTCCATTTGAACTACAAATAACAAAGGAGCCAAAGGACAACCCTGTCTCAGAGAACGAGACAAGGCAAAGGGGACCGAGAGGTTGCCATTCACCATGACAGAGGCAGTTGACATTGAGTAGAGGGTCACTACCCAGTTACAAAGATTCTCTCCAAATCCCAGATGCCGCAGAGTTGTCAAAACATAGGTCCAATTTACCCGGTCATAGGCTTTTTCGAGGTCAAGCATCAATATGGACAGATTAGATTGAGAGTTTTGCACCACTTCCAAGGCCTCAATAGCCGTGACAATATTTTTGAAGATTGACCGGCCTTGGACAAAGGCCGCTTGGTCATTGGAGATCAAGGAGGGGAGGTATTTCCCTAACCGTCTGGCTAACACCTTTGCCAGGAGTTTATAGGACACATTGAGGACCGAAATTGGTCGCCAATTCCTAATCTCAGATTTGTCCCCTTTTTTATATAGTAGGGATATCACTCCATTCCTCATTGACTTCCATAAATTACCGCCTGCTAACACCTGATTGTAGATCTCCACTAACTGAGCCTTAATTGAATCCCAGATTAACAGATATACTTCCACCGGGAGGCCGTCATCTCCAGGGGCCTTACCTTTGGCCACAGCCTTCGATGCTTCCCAAGCTTCCTCTATCGTAATCAGACGATCCATATCCAATTTGCCTTGAGGTGATAGTCTAACGACATACTGATCCCAGTGGGAGGAACCTTCGGAAAGGTTCTCAGTAAGATCCTCACCAGGTCTCCTTGTAGTAAGGATGTACTGGTAATAGGTGGCAGCATAGACACATAACTGGGCCTGTTCACGACCCACCGACCGATCATGGTCAAGTACTGGTAATAGGTGGCAGCAAAGACACATAACTGGGCCTGTTCACGACCCACCGACCGATCATGGTCAAATGGATGTTGTAGTTCAAAGATCGACTGAGTGAGACACTTAGGGGATAACTTATGGAACGTTTCCCGAGTCATTCGATCGTATACCAGAATGCCTTTCACCCTTAGATGCTCCGCCCAAGCTTCAGACTCCTCAATCTGGAGCTCATCCCATTCAGCGAGGAATTTCCTCCTAATAGGACCCCAAACCAAATTCGAAATCGGGTGACTTCTCATACGAGATTCCGCATATTCAATTTTTTTCGTAACAGATTCTGTTCCTTGTCTCCGCGTTTAGCGGCCAAGATTCGTGAAAATATACTAAGGTGACGTGAACACACACGGACTCCAGCATCCCAGTGCTCCTCTTTGGATTGGAAGGAGTTCGCATTGTCCTTCCAATCTGCCGAGAATCTTCGCACCCAATCTACTACCCCTGGATCATTCAATATTTGGGTATTAACACGGAAATACCCCGGGCCCCTTTCCAAATTTTGGATATTTAATGAGGCTACAACCGGTTTATAGTTGGAAATCGGGTTCTAAGTTTCCTTGACCTGCACAATGGAGTTTCAAGCGGAGGATGAAAGCAAAAAGAAATCTAATCGTTTGTAAATCATACCAACCTCTTCCTTGGCATTGGAAAACCAAGTATAACCTGGTTTTGCAGGGTGTAGCAACGGATAGGGTTCCGTAAGATCCAGCTCCGACATTAAATCGGTGAGGGCTGAGATATCTCGGCCCCCCCGGATTTCTCCATGTTTTTCCAGCGAAGTGTTATAATCCCCAGCAAGTATAACATGGTCACACTCAGGGATGAACAAGGGGAGATCCTTGAAGAAATTGGTACGAGCAGATAAGTCAGTCGGAGCATAAATCGACGCAATCACCCATTCTTGCTCACCTACCCAAATTTTAACCCATGCTCATTTACCCCATAAGTCAGCACATAAATCAATGATTTCCATCGACAGATCCCTGTGGATTAAAATAGCGACGCCTCCTCTCGAGCCCATAGCAGGCAACCAAATCTATGGGTCATCCCACCATGTTCCCAATCTAACGATCTTTTCCTCAGAGAGTTTACTTTCCTGTATGCATAGGATGTCTATTTTGTTGGAATGCATCCAACTTTTCATACAGCCCTTTTTATTCCTACTAGAAGAGTCCCCCAAACCACGTACATTCCACGTAGCTACTCTAAGCCTGCCCATTGAGGGTCGTCCCTCCCACAGGTTGGATCAGGGAACTATCGTCAAGGATAGCAGGGGGTCAAACTTCAGTTAAATAACGTTTCAAAAACGGAGAATCCAGCTTCCTTTCCCTACCCAATTTTATGTTCACATCCGACATAAATTCGACAGACACTGAGTCAGAGGGTGAAACCCTGATCCGTCACAATTCTGGTTACTACCTTCTATGAGCCATGACAACGGGTACAGCCGGAAACCTTCATGTCCCAGTTGTTCAAGTTCATTGGGCAGGAAACAAGCATTGAAGATAGGTACATAACATCGACACCTTCTTCCTTCAATTTTGATTAGCAATCTGGGCATAGAGACCTCCACAAGTCGAATAACGAGTTTATCACGAATCAAGGTTTTGACCATCGCAAGCGTGGCATGGGGCATGGGTGATTCATGACACACTGAATTTAATAAGAGAGGAACGCCTTTAGCCCCGCCCCATGCAATAAACCAGAAACCATTCCTGACGAAGGAACACAAGATTGGTAATACCCTAGATTCAACTACGGCTTGGCGTTTTGACAAGGCATTCATTCGAAGTCGAGTGGATTTCCGCTTGCCTGCTGTTGACGGAGCAGCTTGGGAGTCTGTAGAGCTACCAGAATTTTTCGTCTGAATATCCACTTGGATGTCTACGTCACCTTCACTGACCCTCCGTTGTTTCCTAGGGGATTTGCCACGTACGCGACTTCCGCTTGCAACTGGGAGGCTCATCCCTGCAGGTGATACCAACTGTTGCATCTGCATAGCTTCTTCGTTTCCTAAGGTTCCTTCCTGTAAGGGGACCGAAGCCACCCACAAGGAGAAGGCGTGCAAATTTAACACTGATGGGCTCATCCCCATCTGGTATTGCATTGGCCCCATACCGGGTTGCAAACCCGCCCCCAACGGTGGAGGAAAACTCCTGAAGTAAGCTGCCCAGGCAGCTTCGACCGAGGAGGCTTGTCCTTGACCTGTGCCTTGAAGTGGAACTCCATGCTGCTGAACCTGCCGTCCCGAAGGTGAGAAGGTAGGGTTCATTCTGATAACTGGATGCTGCTTCACGTTCAGAGGAGTAATAGTCGGTTGCACCGTCGGCTGAGAGGCTGCCCCCGGGGCTTGCCGTGTCCCCTTATAACTTGGTCTTGGTTGTCGAGATCCCGTTGTAGAAGCTTGAGGCTGGTTGTTGTTGATTCCACCTTGAGCTCCCCTGCCTGGTCGCCGGCAGTTGTCTTCCGTGTAAAAGAACGAGCGACACCGCTTACACCACTCTAACTCCGGACCGACCAACTTGACCTCCAGGATATCTCCTTGACATGTTTGAATTGAAAACTTATCCTTCATATTGCTCTTGCAAGCGGGATCAACGTCAAACCTCAAGTTGACCAGCTTTGGATCAGACTCGTCCGCCTCTGGCTTGTGTTGCTTAATAACCTTCCCTATCGCTTTCTCAATATGAACATGGATGGATGGCATTTCATCCAGAGGGATGCCGACAGCAACCACCCAAAAAGCATTCTGGTCCACCAGTTGTCGCCAATCTCGGATTTCGGCCCGAGCCAACCACGGTTTAAATTCAGTTCGATACGTGGTGCATGCCAAGTCGATGAAGTCAGACTTCTTCTGCAACATCCAATCAGTGATCTCCTGTGCCCTTGGAACATACGACACGGCGTTCGGGCTCTCCACCTTAATCCTACCCCTTTTAAATTCCTCCTCGAAAACGTCGTCTCGAATCCACACGTCCTCATACGCTCTGACTACGTCTTCTTTCACTTTTTTTGGCAGAAACCTAGCCCCATCGCGAAAAATCACCATGACTGTTCTCTCTTTTAGCCATCGGATTTTAATCTCATCCAAGGAGGCGTTGAGAGTGAATTTCACCTCCCTTCCACTCACCTCCATCTCTCCGGGGTCAATATTCGTTGGAAGGATACCTTCCTCGAAACATGCCCTTACCATCTCTCTAACCCTTTCCTCTTCCAGGCGGTAATCGCCCGGAACCTGCGCCCTTCCATCTCTCTCAACTCGACCCGGTGGTTCTACGTCCATTCTACCACCTCTAATCGGCTTGCTCTTAAAAGAACCCCCACTTGACAACCCACGAAACCAAGACTTTGAAGAAAATCCAAGTTATGCAGTCTTTACAATCTTCATAGAGGCTTGTAGTTAGTAGGCGACGGTCGACACTCTAACCGCTAGAAAGCATACCTTCGGCCATCGCCGTAGGTCCTCGTCAATACGAGGAGTCTAGGTTTCCACCCGCGGCAGTGAGACCACGACGGACTCACCTGCCGTCGGTTAGGCCCGCCGTCCGACAGGCGGTGCGGGAACCAAGTGCTAACGCACCGATTAGCGCACCTCACGCGACCGCCGCCGAGAAAGAAGATTAGCATCCAGGTCATTCAATTGGTTGGGTAGTCTTTTTCAGAATATATATATATATATATATCCTACCCCGGAGGGGAGGTCGATGGTCCGCTACGCGCCGAATTTGGGGTCCAAGTTTTGATGAGGGCCGGCGGATGAAGGCCATCCAGGGAGGGGTAGTGTGCAGAGGGGCGCGTATCGAAATGTTCATTGCGCGTCATTAAACGAGAGCGCGCCCCGGGGGTGCGGCACACAGCAGGCGTCGATGTGGAAGACCATCTCGGAGGAGAGCCCTTAGATATGCGTGGGTGTCGTTTGTTTTTCTTTGAGCACAGATGTGGCTGCTACAGGGCTCCCCGTAATACTATAATGACAATAAAAAAGGCCTGAAAGGCCATCTTATCCAGATTGGATAGGTCATTCAATTGGCTGGGTAGCCTTTTTAAAAAAGAAAAAAATGAATATTTATCGTGCCCCGGAGGGGAGGTCAATGGTCCTCAGCACGCCGGATTTGGGGTCCAAGTTTTGATGAGGGCCGGCGGATGAAGGCGATCCAGGGCGGGGGAGTGTGCAAAGGGGCGTGCGTACCAAAATGTTCGCTGCACGAGAGAGCCTGCACTGGGGGTGCGGCACACAGCGGGCGTCGATGCAGAAGACCATCTCGGAGGAGAGCCCTTAGATATGTGTGGGTGTCGTTTGTTTTTCTTTTTCGTTTTCGCACGTCGTTTTGTGAAGCCGATAATTTTTTTATTTTTATTTTTTTTTACGTTTTGGCGCGCCGTTTTGTGTTCCATTTTTTTTCTTTACGTATTCGGGCGTCATTTTTCCCTCCGATATGCGTGGGCGTCGTTTGTTTTTCCTTTTCCTATTTCTTTTCCGTTTTGATGCGTCATTTTGTGTGGCCGACGTTTTTTTTTTTTTTTTTTTTTTTTTTTTTCCTTGGCGTGTCGTTTGTGTTCCCTTTTTTTCTTTTTACGTTTTTGGGCGTCGTTTTTTTTAATTTTATTTTACTTTTTTGGGCGGGTTGAGCAAGCAAGCTTACGCGGGGATGGATGCCCGAATCTGAATGTGTTTGTAGAAAGGTGCAGAAAATCAAGATTGAACTGCTTTTCTGAATATCTTTCGTAAAGGCATCCAAATTCAGGCGCTTAATCAATCCTCTTTGCTGGTGGGACCTGGCCCCTGTTTGACCCGTCCGTTCTTATTTGGGCCTCGGTCGAAAAAAAAAAAAAAAAAAAAAAAAAAAAAAAAAAAAAAAAAAAAATTAAAAAAAAAACAGAACGAAAAAAAAAAAAAAAAAAAAAAAAAAAAAAAAGTGCAAGATCATGCATGGTAAGATGCACGTGCCACATTTCTGTCTTTTTCACATTTCCCTATCTCTCTCTCTTTCAGTCCGTGTGTCTCTGTGTCTCACACACTCAAACGCACACACACACACAGATGTTGGTCCAGAAGGACGCACGTGAAGTGAGGCCAAGGGTTGTGGGTGTGTGTGTGTGTTTGTGTGTCACAGAGTGAGAGAGGTGAAGGTCCTGCCATCGCCTGTGGCACGAATCGAGACAAGTGTGCGCTGTGTAGCTATGCTGCACGTGTCTCAAAAAAAGAAAAAGAAGCACAAGAAAAAAATGCGAGAAAAAAATGCAAGAAAAAAAAAAAAAAAAACATTGGGTACATGGCATGAACGCACGAGTGCTGTCTGCTGAGGAGGTATGCTCTCTCTCTCTCTCTCTCTCTCTCTCTCTCTCTCTCTCTCTCTCTCTCTCTCTCTCTCTCTCTCTCTCTCTCTCTCTCTCTCTCTCT